ATGTAAGGACTATTTCTGGAAAAATACTCAGGATGATGTGATATATAATCTTGTACTTTAGGTTTATTGAGGATTTAACCTGTGATTAAACTGTTCTTTGGCTGATTTATGAATGCATTATTTCCAGAGCAGATAAAAGATTATAAGACTAGCCTGATGTGGTAGTTTTAAACCTGACACGCCAGACCTCAAGAGACAAAAATAAAATTATTTCAAGTTCAAGGCCAGCCTGGACCAGAGTGAGTTCTTTAGCTGAGATGACAGTGAAACCCTGTACCCCTCAGAGAGAGAGACAGATATTATAAACCTACCTTAGTTTGTGATAGGCTGTAATAAAAAAAATCCAGTGCATATTTGCTTTGCTCAGCTTTCCTATCCCATTTCTTTCATAATTATTTACAGGAAGTGCCTTGTTTATTTTGTATTAGTCGTGTGTGTGTGTGTGTGTGTGTGTGTGTGTGTGTGTGTGTGTGTGTGTGTGTGTGTGTGTATGTAGCTTGTATTGCATTTATACTGCCCTTACTCCAGGTCTTATTAGAGAATTCTACAACATAATGTTAATTTAAATTTTATTGACCAGTGAATTGGAGATGGCTATCCAGAAGAGTGAAAGATTCAGGATCTTCACTTGCATTCAACCAAGGAGTGGGTAAAACATTATTGTATGGTAATCTCTAACCAGAGAGTAGTGGAGGTCTGTTACTATTCTTTGGTAGCCATGAAAAATACACAGGCACAGAATAGCACTTCTACAGGCAGCTCTTTGTACAAACAGTTCTATTAAATTACGACTACATCTCCCTCACAAAGTTTCCTGCTTGATAGTCCATTTCTTGTAATAACCCAAGAAACTTGGCACAGAAAACTGCCTTCACCCTCAGGAAGCCTTTTAAATAATCTTAAAATTATTCCTTTAAAAGATGTTTTGTCCATGCTGGGTGTAGTGACTCATACCTGCAGTGCCAACAGTCAGGAAGTTAAGGCAGGAAGATAGCAAGTTTGAGGCCAGTGTGGAGTACATATAGTGAGACAAAAGAAATCTCAGATGAATAGACTAATAAGTTCAGTTGTTCCAATCTGAAAGAACTGTGTAGAAACTGGTTTGTTTGTATTTTCTGAGTCCTAGTAATGTATAAGTCATAAAACAAAGCAATGCCCTTTGTTTCTCCCCTCCAGGTGCAGCTTCTAGTTGGGGCTGCTAGTTTGCTTCTGCTCCACTCCTGGAAATTCTAATTCAGAAGGTGTGAAGCAAAATCACTTCCTCTGTTTTTTGTTTTAAGTTTCAGAGATATTTCAGGTGAACATTTTCTACTTGCGTGCCACTAATACCTTACGTTTTAATACAGCTCCACATGGAATCTAAGTTTAATTCATACTTATTTTGTGGCCTTACAAAGATCAATCTAGAAGGTAGCTAGAAGAAAATTATAGTCGTAACTTAATTTTTTTTGAGACAGGGTTTCTCTGTGGTTTTGGAGGCTGTTATGAAACTAGCTCTTGTAGACCAGGCTGGCCTCGAACTCACAGAGATCTGCCTGCCTCTGCCTCCCGGTGCTGGGATGAAAGGTGTGCACCACCAACGCCCGACGGTACTCCCATTTTTAACTAAGTAGACTTGACTTGGAGCCTGTGTTTAAAAGAAGGATTGTGTGCCTAGACTTGGAATTCAGCCATATTAAGGAGAATTACCTTTGGTTTTTCTTTTTTAAATAAAGCATGTACCTGTAGCTCAGATTAAGAAAAAAATCTAGAACAGCTCTAAAGATGTAGTTTAGTCGTAGAACACTTACCTAGGGTTCAATCCTCAGCATCCAAAAAAAAAAAAAAAAAAAAAGTGTGGGTGTATAGATGGATGGAAAATGTGTGACCATTCCACAAACATCATATATCAGGATCTTTGGGTTGCTACATCTATTCCTGTTGCTATACTATATCTTAAAGGGACTTTGTGATTCTCCTTGTCTTCTGGAGTTCCATAACTTGAATTAGCTCTCTGGAAAGAGCTTTTCTATATAGAACCACCCTACCCCCAAAACTTCTGCTTCTATCTCATTGAGCATTCCTATAATCAGTTGTAACTGTGCAGGTTGCCTTTTGCAGTGCTCAGAAGTTCTGGGGACTGGAGAGATAGCTCAGTCAGTAAATTTAAGACCCCACCTGGGTACCCATGTGAAAAGCCAAGCACAGTGGTACACAGTGCTGATGAGGGAAAGACAGGAGCAACACCAGAGAGTGACTCTAGCGTACACACCAATGTATACATCTGTATTGCACACACATAAATACACACACTCCAAAGTTCTTTTGGTGAATAGGGAGAAAGAAACAATGAATATTGGCCAGACAACTAACAGACCCTGCTACAACTAGCTCTGGGAAATATAATACTAATGTTAGGAAAATAAACTTTTAGAGACTTTTTTAAAAAAAAATTTAGAGCATAAATTTAAAATATCCCCAAACTCTATCTATCATGGTTTGGTAGATAAAAACAGTTAACCTCTTGGTTAGAATGTTCTAAATTGAATTTCTCAGCAAGACTCCTTGGAAACAACACTTTGTATGTTTAAAATCTTGGAAAAAAATTACTTCAGAACAACAGGAGGAGGGGGAAAAAAGACATTCCAGTTTAAATCCTGTTTCTGTTTGGAAACAGAATAAAAATAACTCCAGAATTGGTAGGAGCAAGAGTACCTTATTAGATGATAGAGTATAGGCATGAACTTATTAAAAATACTCAAGTTGTTTAGTGTCTAAGAGGAAAAAGATTAATGCAGTATGTGAAGTAGCTAAATATGCACTGTGACAATGAGTCACTGTAACGCCAAGTATATAAGGCCTTCCCTAAGGGAAAGGATGGTTAGATGGACATTGATTCTGCCTATATTTCATCCATATAAATTAAAAAAAGAATGATGGCTGGAGAGACTGCTCAGCCATGAAGAGCTCTTCCTGCTTTTCCAGAGGACCAGAATTCAGTTCCTAGCACCGTCTCATAACCACCTGTTAGTCCAGCTCCATTGGACCAGATGCCCCCTTCTGGACTCCATATTCACCTGTACACCCATGGTACACCTACATATAGGTTGTGAGCCTAGCCTTTAACGTTGAGCCATTTCTAGCACCCAAAATAATTCTTTTAAAAATTAAAAAGATGGAACCAGGCATAGTGGTGCAGGCCTTTAATCCCAGGCTTGGGAGGGAGAGGCAAGTATTTCTCTGAGTTTGAGGCCAGCCTGGTCTACATAGTAAATTTCAGAACAGCTAGTGTTAGACCCCCGAAAACTCAAGTATCCGGGGTCCCAGGCCATGTTCTCGGTCACCCCAATCACCAGGCGGATTCGAGAGCTTGCTGCAAACTGCATGAGGCTTTATTGTAATTTAACGAGCTAACCCCATGTTAGCTCAGGTCTTTCACCCACCCACCATGGCAGGCAGCTAGCAAAGACGGCTCCTAGGGTCTCCCAAAAGATCTTATAGGGCAGCGTAAGGGGAGTGTCTAGGGGTATGTACAGGCTCGCGATTGGTGTGCTTCCAGGCTTGGAGGGCTTGCCCTGTGTTGATTGGTCAACTGGTTGTTATGGCCCATAGGCCCTCCCAGGGTGGTTGCTATGCTCTCTACGTCATTGCTGTGCGCTTGTCCGTAAAGCACACCCAGGGTCGTAAAGCATAACACCACCAGCTAACTTCCGATTGGTTCCTTGTCACGAGACAGGCATCTGACTTTCTAGTGACCAAGGCAGGTTTATGGCAAGCACATGTTCGGCTGTTATGGCTGCCAAAAGGGAAGCTGGTTCCTTCACTAGGACTGTTACACAGAGAAACTTTGTCTCAATCTTACCCCAAAAAACAAAAAAATAAAAATAAAAATAGATGGATGCTGGGCATGATGGTGCATGCCTATAGTCCCAGCACTCAGGAAACAGACGCAGGAGGACAACCTGGTCTACAGAGTGAGTTCCAGAACAACCAGGGCTACACAGAGAAACCCTGTCTCAACACCCCCACAATAAAGAAATAAAAGATGGATAAAATTGTAATGTCTTGAAAAACTTGGGTGGGGGAGCAGTAACAACATGCTTAACTGTAGATTAGTGTATACATGTGTGAGGTTGAAATGTTGCTGCTAGATGAGCTGAGATAATTTTTTAATGTGTTGGAGCTTTCTTAGTATCTGCTAATCTCATGTGGTATCATTTTATAAACATTTACTGAATACCTACCTTGTTTTTATAATTTACTGTAAAAAGAAATTCATTCACAAGTTGATATTTAGGTGAGAAGATCCAGATTTTTAGCTTCGGATACCTATGAATTTCAAATTTGGGAAAACTGCAGCTTTTGAGATTTTTAGTTTCCCCTTTTCTTTTCCTAATTACAGCAACCAAATGCTAAGTGTCTGCTGGCTCCTAGCTGAAAGAAAACAAAGCCCTACAGAGATTCTGTGTGAAAAGAAAGCCAGTTGTGCTGGCCTAGGGCCAGGCTGCACCTCCTTGGACCATGCCTCTTCAGTCAGAATTCCCCAGGGGGCAGTGGTTGCAAACAACTCCCTTTGGCTTTAGCAGTAAGCACTAGGAGTGCTAATGAAACCAGCTAATGTAACAAGGTCTGCTAGCCTGTGGATTTGAGCTCAGCGAGGCTTCCTTTGAACCTTTTATGATACTGCACTTTCAGGCATCCTTTGGGAAGAACAGTTTACCCTCTGAACCAATAATGGATCAGGGACCATTTTCTTTTATATAGTAGTGGAAATGCCTTTGGCACTCTGGTGTTAAATAACTGCTTATTTGAACATATTGTGCAGTGACTTAGCCTTTTCCACCCAGTAATGGTTCCCATTGAAGCTATTATACTCAGTTTAACTTTTCCATGAGGGACTGTGAAAGGAAATTGAAATCTCACAGATTATACTTTATATTATGTTCATTGCTTATGCAGTTGTCTTATATTTTGGTTTTTGTGTCTCCCACTCTGTACCCCATTCCCCCCTCTGCTTTCAGGTGAAGGCCTCCCACAGGTATATTACTTTGGACCATGTGGGAAGTACAACGCCATGGTGCTGGAGCTCCTTGGCCCTAGCTTACAGGACTTATTTGACCTCTGTGACCGAACATTTACTTTGAAGACAGTGTTAATGATAGCCATCCAGTTGGTGAGTTGATGTGCTATTCCAGAAGATGAATAGATCCCTTGCCCACATCCTTATTGGCCTTTTGGTGATGTATTAGACATCTGAATTAGTTTTTACAGGCTTAATGGCTGTCTAGAAGAATCTAGCAGACTTCTGAAACTAACTGTTAAAACTGCTTTAGCTGGTTCCTATGTATAATTTGGACTCAAAGATTCTTGGCCATTATGTATTATGCCAAACAACTAAGGTAAGTTCTTGGTCACACAACTTAGAGGGTTACAAAAGGGTTAACTGAGAGAAGTGACAATGAATCTGCAGTTTCTCTATTTTAAGAATTTGCACCTTGAAGCAGAACCTTTTCTGTAACTGAAGTGCAGGAATATAATTTACATTAGGGAGAAAGAGGACGAATAGGTGGAGTTGTGCACATTCAAGTAATTGCTTCAGCATTTTATTTATAGGTCTTAGGCACAAAGCTGTAAGGTTTTTATCATGCCCTCCTTCTCTCACTGTTGAAAACTAGAAAAGATTGAAAGTACTACCCCCTGCACTAATGTTTTCAAAATCATGTGGCTGAGATGTTTAATTCCCTGGCATATTATATACTTTGGGGCTGGCCAAGAAGCTTTGCGGCCAAATTACATACTAGTTCCAGCTTATGCAGTTAGAACAGTCTCTATGAGAAGTTTTTTAGGCCCTCAAGGGAAGAATTCAAATGTTGGATTTTTTTTAAGATTTTATTTATTATGTATACAATGTTCTGCCTGCATGTATGCCTGCAGGCTGGAAGAGGGCACCAGATCTCATTTAAGGTGGTTGTGAGCCCACCATGTGGTTTCTGGGAATTGAACTCAGGACCTCTGGAAGAGCACTCAGTGCTCTTAACCTCTGAGCCATCTCTCCAGCCCAAATGTTGAGTTTTTTTGCTTTGTTTTATATTATTTTTTGTTTTGTTTTGTTGAGATGGTCTCACCAGCTTAGACTGGCTTTGAACTTTAGATCCTCTTGCTTCAGCCTCCTGAGTGCTAAGGTGGATGTGTACCACCACAGCCTTCAGGTACATCTTAATTCAAAGTAGTGGTGGTTTCACCATCATCCAGCAGCAATTTGGAAACACTTGAAAACTGACCAAAATCTAAATATTTAAGTCTCCTTTTTGCTATGTAGAGATGCTTTATAGATAGAATTACTTAATGAAATTTGAGACAATGTTACAGTTACTTATTTCAAGCTGTGGTTACTATAGCATAAAGACTGCACGTCCTTTGTATTTCTGTAGTACCAAGATTTGGGTTAGAGAGTCTTGAGCACCTGAAGACACATAGTGTGGGCAGGAGGTAAAGTGGCAGCTATACCTGTCTCAGAGTGCATGCTTGCAAGTTACAAAAATATTATCATGTTAGCCAAATTGTACTGTCTCATTTTTTCCTCCTAATCTTGATAGTTGTTATATATTTATAATAAAAGTACTAGGAATGGGGTGTGCTAGAGATTTCAGTTAAGAGCAGTTACTGCTCTTGCAGAAAACCTAAATTTGATTTGCAGCACCTACGTCAGGCAACTAACACACTGCCTGTAACTCCAGTTCCAGGGAATCTGACAGCCTCTGGCCTTGTGGGCACATGCACACAACTGGTATATGTAAACTGTAAACATGCAGATGAATAAATAAAATAACAAAAGAAACCTTAAAATGGCTGGGCGTTGGTGGCGCACACCTTTAATCCCAGCACTCGGGAGGCAGAGGCAGGTTGATCTCTGTGAGTTCCAGACCAGCCTGGTCTACAAGAGCTAGTTCCAGGACAGCCTCCAAAGCCACAGAGAAACCCTGTCTTGAAAAACCAAAACCTTAAAATGGAGTTTTGGTTTGTAAGTCAGTGAAGTGCAAGATAAATAAGGGATGGATTTTTTTTTTTTTTTTTTTTTTTTTTTTTTTTTGAGACAGGGCCTTACTATGTAACCCTGGCTGTCCTGGAACTCTCCAATATAAAGCAATTCATAGAAATCCATCTGGGATTAAAGGCATGCACCACCACACCCAGCCAAGAGATGAGTTTTATTTTAATTTTATTTTCTGAAACCTTATGCTGAGTCAGACAATGGCATATATACATACAGTGCCAGCTACTTAAGAGATCTAGATAAGAAGATTACTTAAGTTCAAGATCTCAAGGCCTAACCTAGACAGCATAGTGATACAGAAAACAATGAGAAGGAAAAAAATAAAACGGAAAAAATATTTGGGGGCAGTGAAATGGCTCATCAGGTAAAGATGCTTGCCACCAAGCAAGCCCGACAGCCTAAATTTAGTCCTCAGGCCCACATGGTAGAAAGAACTGACTTCTGCAAGTTATACTCGGATCACCACACCATGCCCATGGATGGATGGATAGATGGATGGATGGATGGATGGATGGATGGATGGATGGGCGGGCCGGCAGACAGACAGACAGACAGACAGACAAGCATAATTTTAGGAAATATTTTGGGCCAGGTATAATGGCATGTGCCTTTGATCTCATCCTTGAAACCTGTTAGTTCTGGGACAGCCAGAGCTACATAGTGAGAGCCTGTCTCATGGGGGCGGGGGGTGGGGGGGCATTTTGGATCGTGTTTCCCCACACCCACTCCCCCAACATGCTTATTTCAAGGTATTTCCATTATTTTTTTCTTTCTTTTAGCTTTCTCGAATGGAGTATGTACACTCAAAGAATCTCATTTACCGAGATGTCAAACCAGAAAACTTCTTGATTGGCCGACAAGGCAATAAGAAAGAACATGTAATACACATAATAGATTTTGGACTGGCCAAGGAATACATTGATCCTGAAACCAAAAAACACATACCTTACAGAGAGCACAAAAGCTTAACTGGAACTGCACGATACATGTCTATCAACACGCATCTGGGCAAAGGTGTGTTTAGAAGGGCAGGTCATATGAACTACTTTCTTTTCCAATAGCACTTTATTGTGCATTACATTGTGCACTACAGCTTGTACCATTTGTTGTATCACAAGGTAAGTGACCTTTTTATACTTAAAAGATTGAAATGGTAAGTTAGTGATGTTCCCAAATACCTTAATACTAATGGAGTCTTGATTCTTTCAACTGTGGTTTTTGTTTGTTTTTGTTTTTTCAACTGTGTTTCCTACTGCTTCATTCCTCAGTAATTTAAGAACTTGAGTTATTATTTTAAAGATTTTTTTTATTTATTATGTATACAACATTTTGCTTCCATGTATATCTGCACACCAGAAGAGGGCACCAGATCTCATAACAGATGGTTGTGAGCCACCATGTGGTTGCTGGGAATTGAACTCGGGACCTCTGGAAGAGCAGTCGGTGCTCTTAATCTCTGAGCCATCTCTCCAGCCCCAAGAACTTGGGTTATTTTATTTTAGATCTCATTTTATTATTATTATTGCATGAGTGTTTTGTTTGCATATACGTCTGTGTTCATGCATTTGTGGTACCCTTAGGCCAGAAGAGGGTGTGGAGCCTCCTGGTAGAGTTAGACTGTTCTGAGCAGCCATGTGGGTGCAGGGAATCCTATATAGATTGGTTAAGAGCAACCAGGGCTCTTAACCACTGAGCCATCTCTCCAGCCGCTAAGAACTTGAGGTATTGCAACAAGATAGTAGTAATTGAATAGGTTTAATAATGAGACTTGTATTTACACATGTATGACCCTGTGTATTAGCAGACAAAAGGAAAACATCAGGCTTGTGCCTGTGTTAGTGACGAGGTTTCACTAAAATATGGATTAAGGAGCTGAAGAGATGGCTCAGCAGTTAAGATCACTGGCTGCTCTTACAGAGGACTAGGTTCCATTGTCAGCACCCACATGGCAGCTCATAACCATCTGTAACTCTAATTGCAGGAGATCTGATACTCTGTTTTGATCTCTCTGGTACCAGGAAACACAATGTGATACACAGATATACATTCAGGCAAAATGTGACTTGGATAGAATGTTTAGCCCAGTGGGTCATTACATGTGTAGTTATCTTTATTATTCTTCAAGGTATGTTTTGAACATCTACTCTGTGTGATAAGTGAAGTACTTCTTCATCTTGATGTACTGCCTTTGCCATTAAAATTATCTCATTATCTCCAGAATGGGCTTTTGTGAGGTTCAAGTGTTCTTCAGGTCAACTCTAACATGTCCTAACATTTTGGTTGTTCTCTCCATTATGTAAAAAAAAAAAAAAAACTCTCCCTCTCTCTCTCTCTCTCTCTCTCGTGTGTGTGTGTGTGTGTGTGTGTGTGTGTGTGTGTGTGTGTGTGTGTGTGTGTGTGTGTGTGTGTGTGTGTGTTTAGGTTTTGGTTTGTTTGTTTTGAGACAGGGTTTCTTTTTGTAGCTCTGGCTGTCCAGGAACTCAGTTGTAGATCTGACTTGCCTCAAACCCAGAGATCTGCCTGCCTCTACCTGTAGGTGGACTTTCCTTTCCCACCCACCAGTTCCCAAATAACCTACAGGAAGATTGGATACTAATTATAAATGCTTGGTCCATAGTTCAGGCTTGTTACTAGCTAACTCTTCCTTTTTAAATTAACATGTATTTCTTACCTATGCTGTGCCGTGTGGCTTGGAACCGTTTCTCAGTTTGGCACGCCAATGTTGCTTCCCACTTCGCCCTCTTGAAACTTCAGGCTCCTCCCTTCTTCCACCCGGCATTCTCAGTGTGGCTCTCCCTCCTAGCCTTATTCTGTTCAGTTATCGGCCAGTCAGCCTCTTTATTAAACCAGTCTCAGAGACATGTATTCACATAGCATAAAGGAATATTCCACATCTGCCTTCCAAAGTTTTGGGATTAATTGAGTATACCAGCATGCCTAGCAAGAATTCTTGTAATTGAGTATGGTAGTGCACATCTTTAATCTCAGCACTCTAGAGCCAAAGGAAGAGGGCAGAGGGCAGATGGCAGAGTTCAGGACCAGCCTCATCTGCAAAGCAAGTCCCTGGCCAGCTGGAGCTACATAGTGAGACCCTGTCTCAAACAAAACTGACATACTGTCTCAGGTATCACATCAGAGAAGTTTCCGTAGGAGCTCTAATGTTGCTGGTTTTGAAATATGTTATATTTTGTAAGTTGTAATGGGGGAGAAAGACCCTGGGAATTGTGTTATCAAATAACTCAGAGAATAGCTTTTCATTTTGTAATGGAATTGAGAGAGGTCTCCTAGCTGGCATTACATCAGATGAGCCACCTCCCAGTGATTAAGCAGTGAGTGAGACCCCCTGGGGGTTATGTTGCTATTTTTCTTTGAACGGTTAGTCTAAAATTGGAGTGTTGTGCATGTAAAGCAAGGACATCTTTCTTATTAGCTGAAAGTGAGCCTACACCATATTGAAGACAAGGTGTCAGTGTCTTTTTTGGGTTTTTTGAGTCAGGGTTTCTCTGTGTAGCCTCACTGTCCTGGAACTCAGAGATCTGCCTGTGTCTGTCTCCCAAGTGCTGGGATTAAAAGGTTTGTGCCGTCATACCAGGCTACTAAGGCTGGGCGTTTTTTTTGTTTGTGTTTGTTTTTTGATGTTTGTGTCTTGCTTATCTCCTGGTATGGAAACTCTTCTTTGAAAACAAAAATATCCATTGTGAAAAGTGAGGAGAGCCGGTTGAATTAATGAATTAAAGAAGTGCAGACTGTCCAAACAAGTATGGAGAAAAGCACGTGCTGGTTTTCATTCTTAACATTTTAAGACCTAATCAGGCATTGATGGTGCACACCTTTAATCCCAGTGCTCAGGAGGCAGAGATAGGTGAATCTCTGTGAGTCTGAGGCCAGCCTATTGTACAGAGAGAGTTCCAGGACAATTAGGGATACACAGAGAAACACTGTCTTGGGGGAAAATATAATTAAGACCTAATGATTTAATATTGATTATTTTAAATTTTTAGAGCTCAAAAAAGCTTTTTCAAATTATCTAAATGACTACTTTATTTTTCACATAGGAAACTGAGGCCCAAAGTAGGTGAGTTGGCTGTGATTTCATTTCATTGGACTGAATGAATAGAAGTGGTGAGCCCAGACCCGGATCTCACACCTGAGTTAGGGTGCATGGTTTTCTATTCTTGTTCCACAGCTGTGCTTTCATCCTTCTCTGGACTCAAAACCTATGGGTTTTCTCGTGCGTGCGTGCGTGCGTGCGTGCGTGCGTGCGTGTGTGTGTGTGTGAAAATCCTTAAATCTGTGGAGAGTTTCCCCCTCTAGTGCTCACTTAACTACAATTCAATCACTTGCCTGGTGATTTTTTTTATTATCAAGAGGCTTCCTGTAACATACAGGAAACAGATATAAAAATGGAGGCAGGGCCGGGCGTTGGTGGCGCACGCCTTTAATCCCAGCACTCGGGAAGCAGAGGCAGGAGGATTGGTGGGAGGT